GGGGGCCCATAAGTGGGGGTGAGCAATGTTGAGATGGCTTCACTGTGGCCAGCATGTGCCAGGCGGCTTGGGAGCTAGCTCCTGCCACACTGAGGAATGTCAAAGACCAGGCCTCAGCTGCATGACTGAGAAAACAGAATTACAAAAAAACCTTTGAATTCTCCTCTGAGAAGGTGGAAATATCATTTACATTATTAAAAACCCAAGACAGAGTTTAACTTTTTTCAAACTGGGCTAGTATTATCAAACTTGATACAATTAGAACTCCCGGGTGGGTGAGCCCCTTCCTGGGCAGCAGCTCTCACAGGCCGCCCCTCGGAGCTGCACCCCGTGCTACATAAGTGGGTGCTGGTATGCCGTCCGGGATCTTTTAGGAAGCACCTAATGAACTCATTAGAAAGACCTGCTCCTTTCCCTATTGTTAAGTCAACAATTACAGTTGTTTTGCCATCTTCCCGCACGCTGCGATTCCTTCATTAAGCTCTAGCGCTGTAGGAAACACGTGCTCTTAGAAAAGCTGTATTCAAAAGGGGCAAAGCCCATAAACACTGACTTTTTAAAACTACACAATAGGATATGGGGTGTGAGAGGAGTTACGTGTGTTCCTGCTCCCACCACCACCTCCCCACTCGGTAGGTTTCGGTGGACCATGAGACTCCCCAGAGGGCAATGTGAGGTGGAATAAACGGAGGCAGTGGTTTCTGTACTCCGGTTTTGAGTATGAATTATTACTTTACCCTCTAGTGAACCTGGCTTTTCTCTGCCTGGTGGCCCACCGAGAACCATCTTTCTTCCCATCTGCACTGGTAGTGGCTGGGACAAAGAATAGGTGGGCAAACACAGGGAGTTCCATCTGCTGCCCAAACTATCTATGGCCCAATAAGGTTTGAACAGGCAACCAGGGGAAGGAAGCGGCTTGACGTTCATGGAACAAGACACTGTCCTAACAATAACTCAGAAAGGCCAGGCACCCAGGAGACGGCGCGTGCCAGGGCCAGGAGGGCTGGGTCTGTTTCTCACTTGGCTTGTCTCTTACGGCTAGAGAACCCTCAGTGCATTGTCTTATGTTTCTGATTTGTTTCCTCATCTGTAAAATGGAGCAGTAATGGCTACCACTCAGCTGCACTAAGGATTCAATGAGATTATCATGCAAAGGTGTGCTGTGCACCTTCTGGGGCGACCGTTAGGACCAAGGAAGCCAAGAGGCTGAGAGGACTGACTGCCTCTATCCTCTATGGGAATGGAAAGATGGCATGAGCAGAGCTACTGGCCCCCCAAGTCCACAACCAAGAGGGAGCTCCATACTAGTCAGTCGACTGGATCTAATCCCCACCTCCTGCTGCCAGTTTAATGAAGAGCCTACCAGAATCACCTTTCTTTCTCAAGGTCTTTATCAATGATCTGGGGGCGTCAGCAGGAGTGACTCACAGTAGTGTTTCCAACTCCAGTGAGGGGCTGCCCCCTTCAACAGTTATCACAAAGATTTACTAAGCCCAGGTGCATTCTCAGGTGACATTAGGATGAGGTACCACCACAGTGGTCCTGAGTAATGCACCTTCTGCCATCTTGAGGCACTGGTTCACTCTACCAGGAATGCATTCATCAGCCACTACAGAATCATCAATGGAGCATGACTTGCATCTGCAGCTGGGACTCAAACCTGTGTGGGCCTTTGACTGATCAGGAACGATTTCCCTAGGAGATGACAAAGGATGACAACTCCCAAACAGAAAACTCTTTCCCACTTTGCTGGCTCCTCTTACACTAATAAGCAAGTGAACGTAATGCTCTCTCGCCTCACCAAGGATCAAGGCTCTGATGGCCCAACTGTAAGCTCCTTGGTGGTGAGGACCAGGTTATGGCCTTCTTCCAGAGATCCTGCAATTTCCCCATACAGTAAGCTCTCAAATAAATTCTTACCACTCAGGACACATAGATATTCCCTTCTCACTCTTCACAACTTTCTTCCATCTAGTTCTGCTACATCTGAAACGATATCCAAATAATCTTTGTCTCATGTGCCATAACCAATTATTTACTTATCTGTTCATTCAGACACTTACTGAGCATTTTTTATGTGCCAAGAAGTATGCTAGACACTGGTAGGGGAGGGAGGAAAAGATAAAAATGGCATCATCTCTATTTTCAGGAAGCTCATGCTAAAAATACGCAGGGAGCACAGCCAGAAAGTTTACGGGGTTTGTAGAATTGGGACTAGATAAGATTCTTGCCTTAAAGATCTTTACACTTTGGACCAGTAAAGACCACCATGAATGATGGAAGAGCCCTGGGTAAAATACTGCCCAGGCTGCCAGCCAATCAGTAGTTCAGTCACAGGGATGCCACTGGGCATGCTCCTGCTCCATGAGGTGGGCTGGCTTGGCTCCGTTTTGGGCTAAGCTGCAAAAAAAAGACCATGCTCCTGCTTTGACAGGTCTTGGCCAAGTTTCACAAGTCATTTCTTCAGAGAGTATGTGTATGTATCTCATCTCATATCTGATCTCTTGCCTGAGCCCCAGGCTCAAATATAGCACTGCCTACTTGACATTTCCACTTGGAAATCAGTGTACTTGGCATCTCAAGTTTAACCTGTTTAACACTGAACTCAAGATATTCTTCCTACACCCACCTATTCCTCTCTCAGTAAATGGCACTATCTTAGACCTAGTTGCTCAGGCCAAAAAAAAAAAAAAAAAAAAAATCTAGGTGCTATGCTTGGCTCCTCTCTTTCCCTCGATTTTTAAAAAATATTATTATTATTACTTTTTTAGAGACAGGGTTTCTCCATGTTAGTCAGGCTGGTCTTGAACTTCTGACTTCAGGTGATCCGACCACCTTGGCCTCCCAAAGTGCTGGGATTACAGGTGTGGGCCACCACGCTGGGCCCTCTCTTTCCCTTTATCCCACATCCCATGTATCAGCAAGTCCTGCTGACTCGACCGGCCACCTGCGCATAACCTGAGTGCAGCCACTTCCATCTTCTGTGCTGCCATACTCACCCAACCCGCCACCATCGCTCGCTTATCCTACCAGCCAGCTTCTCTCCAGCCTCCTTGTTTTTGTTCTTGCCTCCTGTACCCCACTCACCACATACAACCAGAAGTCTTTTTAAAAAAGTAAATTGGGGCCGGGTGTGGTGCCTCACATCTGTAATCCCAGCACTTTGGGGGGCCGAGGTGGGTGGATTACTGGAGGTTGGGAGTTCGAGACCAGCCTAACATGGAAAAACCCATCTCTACTAAAAATACGAAATTAGCTGGGCATGGTGGCGCGTGCCTGTAATCCCAGCTACTCAGGAGGCTGAGGCACGAGAATCACTTGAACCCAGGAGGCAGAGGTTGTGGTGAGCCGAGATCGCGCCATTGCACCACGCCAGCCTGGGCAACAAGAGTGAAACTCCGTCTCAAAAAAAAAAAAAAAAAAAAAAAAGTCAATTAGGGCACATCAGTCCCCTCACTAAACATCCTCAGTACTTCTCACTGGCCTTACAATAAGGTCTAACTCCTAATCAGGGCAGATAATACCCTACTATGCCTGGCTCCTGACCTCCACTTAGCAAACTCCACCTTACTCACTACCCTGCAGCCATTCTGGCTTTCTGTCCTTGAACATGTCACTCTGCTTCCTGTCTCTGGACATGTGCAGTGCCTGGAATATCCTTCCCACCAAGTGTACATGGCTGGTTCATCCTCTTGCCTTAGGTCTCACCTATGTGTCATCTCCTCAGAAATGCCCAACTATAACATTACCCTTTTATCATGCTACCCTATTTTCTATCGATCACAGTACTTCTCTGTCTTATGTACACCTACTGTTTATTGTGCCCTGAACTACAGTGTAAAATTTCATGCGGGCAAGACTTCACCTGTTTTAACACTACCGTTTCCCTAGCCCGTTCCAGGCATATGGTAAGTGCTCAATAAATACGAACTCTATGAATGAATGAATCCCAGAGCCTGCAGCATCAACCTAGAAGAGAGCCACAATGTAGGCGTAGTACTACTCACACATAGTTGCCGGAGCTGAGGACCCAAACCTGATGCATAGGCTTACAGGAGCTCAGAAGAACGCAAACGCTTAACGGGGGCCTAAGGAGTTAACTGGGGATCAGCTCAGTGGATACACAACACTGAGAGGTAATGGTAAATTGACATGGAAACAAAAAGCTGAGGCTGCCACCAGCTGCCACTGGTATTGCGGGTCTCAACTCTGTGTGCACCTTGAATCACCTGGAGAGCTTTTAAAACACTGAGGCCAAGGCGGGGCGCAGTGGCTCGCGCCTGTAATCCCAGCACTTAAGGAGACAGAGGCAGGCGGATCACCTGAGGTCAGGAGTTCCAGACCAGCTGGCCAGCGTGGTGAAACCCTGTCTCTACTACAAATACAAAAATTAACTGGGCATGGTGGCAGGCGCCTGTAACCCCAGCTACTAGAGAGGGTGAGGCAGGAGGAGCATCACTTGAACCCGCGAGGCGGAGGTTGCAGTGAGCCGAGATCCCGCCATTGCACTCCAGCCTGGGGGCAAAGAGTCAAACTCCGTCTCCAAAAAAAATAAAAAAAACAAAAAAACACCGAGGCCAAGACCCCATCCTACATTTTGAATCATTAAGGTTGAGCGATCCCAGGCATCTTAAGTTTTTGTTTCTTGATCTGCAGAGACGAGGTCCCACTATATTGCCCAAGGCTGGTCTCCTGGACTCAAGCGATCCTCCAGCCTCGGCCTCTCAGAGTGCTGCGATTATCGGTGTGAACCACCGCACCCGGCCCATCTGGAGTTTTAAAAAGCTTCTTCGGCAATTCCAGGGTGCAGCAGGGGGAGAGCACTGAGTAGAAGGGGAGTCGCTATCAGCAGCTCCCTGGGGGAAAAAGGGGGCCACGCGCACGTGCCGACTGGAAGGAAGGGCGCGCGCATGCGCAGATCCAGCCGCTAGCGCGCTCGCTGGCCCCGCCTCTGCCTCGTCCTCTCCTCCCCTCGTCCCAACCGCCTCCCCGCCGGTCACCTGGGTATTCTCTCCCTCCCGAAAGGCCTGTGCCACCCGCTGTCGCAGGTAAGCGCCCAAGTCCCGGCCCCGTTTGGTCTCGTCCACGGGCCATTCCTCACAGAGCTTAAGAAAACGCCGGTACCGGCTGGCCGCCATTTTGGGCCCCGCGCGTTCCCGCCCTTGGGGGAGGAGTCGGTGCCGCCGCATGGCGCTTGCGCACTAAGTCTCGCAGCCTTCCTAAGGATGGGGACGGGAGGCCTGGTGGGCATGCGCGACTTTGCAGGCGCCCAGCTAGTGTCCGGGTGGGGGCGCTGCTCGCCTGTCTCTGCAGGTAGAGCGAGTTCAATCTTCGTCCTCCTGGAACCGGCCCAGCTCCCAGGGGCAAGGCCGACGTGGAGTACCCCAGAGACAGCTTTGCTTCTCTTTTTCAATGACTGCAGAAGCTTGAGACTAAAAAGCACTCCTCCGAGGCCTCTGCTGTTTGGCATAAAGCGATACATTTACATGTAAATACAGGTTACTGGATGAAGATGTGTTTGAACGTTGTTCGTGTGTGCCCCTGTACCTGTCACTGTCCTTGGTACTCCGCCTCAATTCCTTTAGTGCTTTCTAGTTCTCGTTCTTCTCTGCCCAGCCCCTGTTAGTATCCCTTCTGTGCCCCCACCCCGACCCCTCATAAGCCAGACATTTTTCTGTGGGAGGCCCAGGTTTTCTAGTCTGAGCAATATCAACTGGGTTGATTCGGCCTAGAAAAACCCTTTTTTTTTTTTTTTTTTTTTTTTTTTTTCCCAATTTATTATTATTTTGTAGTGTGGTAAAATACGCAAAACAAAATGTACTATCTTAACCATTTTTTTTAAAGACAAGGTCCTGGCATGTGGCCCATGTTGGTCTCAAACTCCTGGACTCAAGTGATCCTCCCACCTTGGCCTCCCAAAGTGCTGGGATTACGGGTGTGAGCCACCATGCCTGGCCTTAATTTTTTTTTTTTTTTTTTTAGTTGGAGTCTTGCTCTGTTGCCCAGGCTGGAGTGCAGTAAATGACACAATCTTTGCCTTCTGGGTTCAAGCGATTCTCCTGCCTCAGCCTCCTGAGTAGCTGGGACTACAAGTTACAAGTGCTCACTACCACGCCCAGCTATGTTTTATATTTTTAGTAGGGTCGGGGTTTCACCGTGTTGGCCAGGCTAGTCTTGAACTCCTGACCTCAGGTGATACTCCTGCCTCCGTCTCCCAAAGTGCTGGGATTATAGGCGTGAGCCACTGCGCCTGGCCAGCCATTTTTAAGTGTACATTTCAGTGGTATGAAATGTTGTGCGGCCATCATACCATCCATCTCCATAACTCTTGTAAAACTGAAACTCTATACTCATTAAACAACAAATCCCCATTTCCCCCTCTCCCCCGACCCCCTGGCAATGACCATTTTATTTTGTCTCTGATTTTGACTGCTATACGTACCTCATATAAGTGGAATCCCGCAGTATTTTTGCGACTGGCTTATTTTGCTTAGCATAATGTCTTCGCCTCAAGGTTCATTTATTTTGTAGCAAATGTCAGAATGTCCTTTCTTTTTAAGGCTGAATACTATTCCGTTGCATGTATGTACCACATTTTGTTTATGCATCCCTTGATAGACTCTTGGTTGCTTCCATGTTTTAGCTCTCGTGAATAACGCTGCTATGAACATGGGTGTACAAACATCTCAAGACCTTGCTTTCAATTCTTTTGGTATATGCCCAGAAGTGGAATTGCTGGATCATATGGCATTTCTATTTTCAGTTTTTTGAGGAGCTACCATACTGCTTTCCACAGCAGCTGCACCGTTTTTCACTCCCACCACCAGTGCAAAAGGGTTCCAATTTCTCCACATCCTTACCAACGTTCGTTATTTTCTGGTTTTTTGATAGTAACCATCCTAATGGGTGAGGCTGTATCTCAATGTAGCTTTGATTTGCATTTCTCTAATGATTAGTGATATTGAGGATCTTTTTATGTGCTTGTCAGCCATTTGCATATCTTCAGAGAAGTATCTTTTCAAGTCCTTTACCTGTTTTAATCAGGTTGGTTTTTTGTTTGTTTTTTACTGAGTTTTAGGAGTTCTCTATATGTTCCAGATATTAATTCCCTGACAGCTATATGATTTCAAAATATTTTCTCCCATTGAAATGTGTTTGTTTTACTAAGTTTTCTCTTAAATGTCTCTGGCTACATCACCATGTGGACTGATTTTTGTTCTCAAAAGACTGTCCCACCATCCGTGTTTTTCATAAGAAAGCCTCAGCCCCCCTGTGTATCTCCACTGTCCTGTATTTAGCCAAGACCATCCAACGTGTACAAAACTTTGCTTCCTCCAAACCTTTTCCTCCTTCTTGCCCTACCTGCATTTTAAAGGTGAATCCAGGAGAGTCCTGCCTTCAAGAAGTTGACTGCCAAATCTGGGGATGTGTACATAACCAGGACACAAAGTTACAGATAATGAGAGGTTTTTGTTTTTTTGTTTTTTGTTTTTGTTTGTTTGGTTTTTGTTTTTGTTTTTGTTTTTGTTTTGAGACATCCACGTTCTGTAGCCCAGGCTGGAGGGCAATGTTATCATCTCTGTTCACTGCAATCTCCACCCCCAGGCTCAAGCTATTCTCCTGCCTCAGCCTCCTAAGGAGCTGGGATTACAGGCACACGCCACCACACCCAGCTAATTTTTGTACTTTTAGTAGAGACAGGGTTTCACCATGTTGACCAGGCTGGTCTCAACACTCCTGACCTCAAGTGATCCACCTGCCTTGGCCTCCTAAAGTGTTGGGATGACAGGCGTGAGCCGCCGCCAGAGCTTTGACTGACGTGTCGGACAACACCGGAGAGTTTGGAGAAGCACGTACGTCTGCTCTGCTGGGGAGAGTGGGAGGAGATCAGGGATGGCTCCAAGAACAGCCACAGGCAGTTCTGGGGTAGCAACGGGAAAGAGAGGGAGGAGTTTAATTTGAGAAAAGATCAATGGGTGATTTTAACGGGAATGGCTTTAATTGTTCTGAAGATGTTAAGAGTAAAGACCATCAAAGAAAAACCTTTGGGTTATGAGCCGGGCATGGTGGCTCATGCCTGTAATCCCAGCACTTTGGGAGGCCGAGGCGGGTGGATCACGAGGTCAAGAGATCGAGACCATCCTGGTCAACATGGTGAAACCCCGTCTCTACTAAAAATACAAAAAATTAGCTGGGCATGGTGGTGCGTGCCTGTAATCCCAGCTACTCAGGAGCCTGAGGCAGGAGAATTGCCTGAACCCAGGAGGCGGAGGTTGCGGTGAGCCGAGATCACGCCATTGCACTCCAGCCTGGGTAACAAGAGCGAAACTTGGTCTCAAAAAAAAAAGAAAAACCTTTGGGGACCAGAATGTGTGATGCCTAGCTGAGATAAGGAGAGTTTAGGGGGAGTGGAAAACCAGGTGCTTAAGGGCACCTCCTCCAGAAAGCTCCCCTGATTAACCGCACCAGGTTCCCAGCGCAACAGCCCCTCCCTGCTCCATCCTCACCTCCTAGCCACGAAGTTTTGATGACAGACCAGAGGCGCAAAGGGGCAAGGATTGTATCTATTTCCTTATCAAGGTCCTGGAGCCTAGCGCTGTGCCGGGTTCCCTGAGGCCCTGTCACAGCTGTGGCTTTGAAGAGCAGCTGGCTGGTTCGCATCTGTCCTGAGAGGCAGAGCCAAGGCCCCTCTGTCTTAGGCAACCAAAAAGTAACATTAGGTGGCAGCAAATGGTTTTCATGCCACTTGAGGTACGCGGCAATGAGAGGTTGAGAAGAACGCTGGCCTCCAGAGGAAGCGCAAACAGATGCTTCTTTCTAAGGTGCTCCCTTCCCCTGTACGCTGGCTTCTTCTCGGTCAGGTTGTGGTTGTCCCTGGTTCTGACTGCCCTACCTACCTCTCTTCCTCCATATGGAGGCTTGTTTGGCCGTGGTGGTTAAGTAGTGGGGTTTTGGAGTCTGACAGACCTGGTTGGAATGTAGGCTTGCTCATTTGTTTGTTTGTTCATTCATTCATTCACTCATTGATTCAGTGCTCTATAGCCCTGCTCACTCTATCAATATAATTTCCTGGGGCCCAGTACAAAATGAAAATGTAAAGCCTTTTGAGAAAAAATTGTTAAGGCAGAGAGTGATGGCTTGCACTTGTAATCACAGCTACTTAGAAGAATCACTTCAGCCCAGGAGTTTGAGACCAGCCTGGGCCACATGGCAAGACCCTTGCCTCTCCAAAAAATTTTAAAAATTAGCCGGACGTGATGGTGCGCACCTGCAATCTTAGCTATGTGGGAGGATCGCTTGATTGCTTTGAACCCAGGAGTTAGAGGCTGTAGTGAGCTATGATTGCACCACTGCACTCTAGCCTGGGTGTCTCTAAAAATATTGTTAAGAATTTCAAGACAGTAACAGCAGAGCATTAAAGCAAATGTGGCCCCTTCTGAGTGCAGGGCCCTGGGTGAGTGTGCAGGTCACACACCCATGAAGCTGGCCCTGAGCTCCTGGCATGCGGTGGACAAGACAGGTGAGGGCCCTGCTCCTATAGGGACAGAGCAACCAAGCAAACCTGTAATTGTAACGGTGCTCTATAAGTATTAGCTCATTTGCTGAATGAACAAGATAATTTCAGATGTGGTAAGTGCCAAGGAGGGATCAAGGCAGGGTGCTGGGTCAACAGTGATTGGGGCAGGGGAGGGGTAGGTGATCTGGAGGCCATCCCTGAGCGGCTTGTGAGTCACTTGAGGGGTCAGCCACCGGAAGGTGGGCAACAGAGGCTTCCAGGCACAGGGTGCAAAGGCAAAGGTCTTTGGAGCAGCCAACCTCAGGTGGGTTATTTAGTTGCTGTAAGTTTCAGTTTCTTCATCTTCAAATGGAAACTATGATGATAAATTAACACTATTTACTATGTGCCAGCACGATTTTTTAAATCTTAATTTTATATTTCATTTATTCTTTTTTAGAGACAGGGTCTCACTACGTTACCCAGGCTGGAGTACAGGGGTGCAATCACAGCTCACTGCAGCCTCGAACTCCTGGGCTCAAGAGATCTTCCTGCTTCAGCCTCAGCTTCCTGAGTAGCTGGGACTATGGGTACCATGATGCCCAGTTAATTGTTTTATTTTTGGTACCCAGGCAGGTACCATGATGCCCAGTTAATTGTTTTATATTTTGTGGAGATGGGGGTCTCGCTATGTTGCCCAG